TTTCAAAAGAAAAGAAAAAAAAAAAAGCCTCTTCTCTTTGAGTTCATTTTAATTCGCTTTTCCTTCCCCGTGAATTTCTTACAGATTCAAAGGGCAGCCTTATAAAGTCATTTTACTGCAAAGAAAAGCACCGGCTCCTCCTTAGGCTTCTTAACTGCTAACTGCCTGATGCTAAGAGTGTCCTCTTCTGACTCACCCACCACAAAGACAGACATAGTTATTCATTTGCTGTAGCAAATAAATAATTCTACTCTGATGTTAATTCATTCTACACATATTGATTGCACACCTATTACATTGATTAAGGTACGTGTTAGGGAAGTACCACTGAATAGAGGAAGCTTGATTCCTCCCCTTAGAGAACTCAGAGACCATGGGGGACATACTCACAGTGACAGCGGAAGTTGAACCAGGGCTTTGTTTGGTAGGGGAAAGCAGGGTGCTCCCCGCAGAAGTGACTTCTCAACAGAGGCCTGGAAGATGAGCAGAGCAGGAGGTATCCGGATGAGGAGGGAGGAGTATTCAAAGCAGCAGCAGCAGCCATAGAGCAAAGGCTGGGAGGGGCACATTGAAGACCGGATTACTTACTAGAAAAGGGGCTAATATGAGATTGAAAAGGCAAACCAAGATCAAATGTTTCAGTGTCTTATAAACCGTGTTAAGTAGCTTGTGAATAATCCCAAGAACAGTAAGGAAAGTTGAGAGGCTTTCAGCAAAGGGAGTACTATGATGAGATTTGCTTTGAGGGATGACCACTTTCCTTAAGAGCCTGGTTAAGTGGCTGCTGGGAAAACTCAAAAGGAAGGTGTTACTAATCTGCCTGCAGCTAGATTAGTGGCAATGAGACAAAGAGAAACCCGGGGAAGGGGAGTGGAGGTGACCCTGTGGATTCCGTTATGGAGAAGTCCACCTTGAGGTGCCCAGGGGACGTGGATTGATTAGGCATTACAGCTCAGAAGAAAGATCTCATTTGGAAACCATTCCTTTGTATTATTTTCAGCACCGGACAGAAAGGCAGCATTAAAGCTTTTACTTCATTCAGTTCTAAGCAAACACATTGGTTAGATCTACAAAGCTTACTTGAATGATGGTCTATGTGCACGTGAGTAAATAAGATTTGGCTCCAGATAGCAATTACTACTGGCACCTCTTCCTTTCATCTCAGGAGACACAATGTAATTGTAAACATCCATCTAGACACTGGGAAAATTTTTCCCTCAGGGAAAGAAACTTAAATTGCTTCTCTTTGTCTTTGTTGCAGGTATCTGTGCTGTATAGCTCACCTGGCCACCTCTTCTACATTTGTAGGAAATAAATGTGATCCTATCTGTGCTGTAGGTAGTGAAAGTATCCCCAACCTTGAGAAGCACATTAATATTTAATGAGCTAAAATAGACTTTTCTGTAGTCAATGCCTTGATCTATGTCCTTTATTTAAAAGTATAAAGACCTCAAGGGATAGAGTGTAGAATTTGGCTTCCCTTATGAATTTCACACTCACTAGGCCAATTCAAAACCTCCCTTGCACTGCTCACAGTCAATTTGGATAAATTTATCTTTCCTCTGCATTCTGGAGTGTCATCTGAGGGTGGTGGAGTGATGAACAAGGACTGTTTTATGGTCTTAGGTGGGTGTAGGCTATGAGATGTGTGGCTTTATTTGATCATCCTCTTATTCCAGATAATAATATCCTCCACTGATTGTTTTATCCATGAAGTCTGTGAATTTAAACATGGTACAAGGCACAGTGTGTATTTAGGAGCTGAATTAAAGAATTGAATAGACTTCTAGTTTACTTTAAATTGTAATGGGGTAGGGGTATTTCCATAACTGATCTAGAAAGATCTTCAGTTTATTTATTTTCTTAAAAGAAACCAAGTTTCCAGGCCATAAAAAAGAAAAAAGTTTACCAAAGAAAGAGGTGAGTTAAAAATCTTACTCATAAATAGTAATTTTTGGGAGACAAGCAATTATTCTGGATTTTGCATAGATACCTTTCAAAGGCATGACAGTCACATCCATTTGTTATTTTATTCCTTCCTCTTGCTTAGTACTCATTAAAATGTTCCAGGAATATCTTGCTATTTTTCTTAAGTGACATCTATAACTCAACTTACTGCTTAATGTGTCTTTAACTCATTCATATTACATAAGGTTTTCTCCCAGTGGTAATGATTATAAACAATATTCAAATTTTAGGTATTTTGAAAAGATGCTGAGAAATTGAAATAAACATAATCGTTACTTCTTTTTCGTTCTCACTCATCTAACACTGAAGAAATATGCTGATGTTTAAACATCTTTTTAATTAATGGCATAAGAAACTAGATAGTTAGAGGTTTTTTTCCTATAGAAACTATTGAATGTGTTTTAATCTCATAATAATCACATCAAACTTTAACTTCAGTAATTGTAATTGATTATTTGAGTTTTTCAGATTATTCAGTTTTTCAGTCATGATGAGTGGAGCACAAAGAGGGAGAAAAATCATATACTTAAATCTACTCATAATCAAAAGCTTTAAGGAAGTGATTAACTTTTCTAACTCCTTTTATTAGCACTGTATTAAAGTTGAAGGATTTAGGGTTAAAATCCCATTTCCATTCTCCCTCCTTCTTTCTACAGGAGATAACAATATATTATGCAATAGGCAACATAATCATGTGGTTTGCATCATTCATATCCGTTTTATTTTCATAACGTTGTCACATGTGCCATGCCACCCCCACCTCTTTCTCTCTTTGTCTTGCTCACATACACATTCACACAAATACACCCACATACATATAAAACACATGTGTTTGTACATATATGGTAACTCATTCATCTTCATTTCAAATGACAACTTAGAAGTTTTCAGAGTACTACATACATAAGACTTCCATATTTTTTCTTATAAAAACTACACATTAAGGTATAAAGGAAAACTACGTGTTTTGGAGTTGACAGAATGAGTCTGAAACATGCAACACACCATTTGGTCCCCGATGTGTAACTTATTTGGTGTTTAGCAGTTGTATATTCACTCACCTGATTTTATTACGTTGCTTTTTTGTTATGTGTCTGTGAGGACTTGGGAGGTGGGAAGATGGGGAGGCATCATTGTCAAATAAAAGGTCCTCCCTTAACTGCATTTCACAGCTCTCTCCCATAACTCAGAAACCTAATTTGGGTGATGATGTGGTTTGTCAGGAATGTGAAGAGACTAACAGAGATCACTTGTTGGATGCAGGTGATCAAGCCTCTGTGATAATTATGGAAGCCTTTTAAAAGACTTACAGATGTGCCCGGTTTGGCCATCTGGTCAGAAGATGCATTTTCAGAGTTCTCTGTCTTCACCTTTGTGCCCTGCCTCAGTGTGGGAAATGTCAGGAATGTACTGGCTTGTAGTTGAGTTCTGCTTTGACAGAGGTTAACAGATAACACCTTCGTCTGTACACGTACACTCATGTGCCCTAGCACCGTCCAAGTTGAAAGGATAAGAAGGAGGTTAACTATGCTGCAGCGACATTTATCACCCTCTGAACCAAAATATGTGAACAAAATTTCTAAGGTTGGTTTTGAACTATTCAAGAATTTGAAGGGGCTGTATGATTTTTATCATGCCCACAATGTGAAGAAACAAAGAAAACAAACTTTTCCAGTTTAAATAAAGGGTAATTTATTTGGGGCAAGAAAATAAAGAAATCATACTGAATGTGAACAATGCACAAAATGAATTTTCTTTGCCTTTCCAAGTAGCTTTGTGAGCCATTGTTGTAGAGTTTTGCTTAATTTGGTATGTGTGGGAATTCAATTAGTTGCTCTGAAACATGATATCATGTTTTTAGTGGCCTTCCTTCTTAAGGAACAGTAATGTGAGTTGCATGTTCTTTTAGATGCAATCCTTTTGAATCTTGTGAAACTAGAGCCAGGTGACTAGAATGTGTCAAGTCAAAGAGTTGTTCACCTTATGTGTGTACATTCACCTGTGTCTGTTCATGCATGGTAACTATTATTAACCTTTATTCTGGGTGATATAATTTATCTTTCTTAATAATTGCTTATAAAAATAAGCTCACAATGAGTGAAGTATATACTACTTTTACAACTTCCTGTGAGCCTCTATATAATTCAAAATAAATTTTTTTTACAGTAAGATCACAAATTAAATCTCTGTTTTTTCATTGGTCAGCTGACTGCTAAACTTCAGACTTCTAGCAGCTCTGTCACAAGGTAAACCGTTGGTCACAGGTTGAGTCAGGCAGAAACTGATTAGATCAATTGAAATGTATCACCAGTATTGGAAAAAAATACGAAGACCCCAAAACATGTGCCCTAGTTTAGTGACTGAATCTGCCTCATTTTCATGTGTGTTTAGAATTAATATTAACCCCTTCATGTGAGATTATTTATTTAGTAAAGTCTCACTTAATATAGAGCATCTCCAATACTCTACAGGCAACCTGCAGAGTCAGGCCCTGCAGTCTTCAGGACTAGCAATCATATATTCAGTCTAGTTATGACAGTAGGTTCTAACACTTGTGATGATAACACGCCCACATACACCGAATTAAGCCCAAATCTAATGGGCCAGAAAATGGCATAATGCAAAAAGTTATAGCTCTGTTCCAGAGTGGAAACTTGGTAGGAGATAATAAAATGAGTGGCTAGGCCAAACTGAAAAAAAAAAAAAGTCAGGTATGTGTTTTGTTTCATTTAGTTCTATTTTTCCAACTAAGCTTCCAAAGACACTTATAATCCCACATACGAAGGACAAACAAACTTATGCCTCAAGATGAGAATGTTTTATTAGACACTTTACTGTGTGTATGTTCGATTGTAAGCAGTAATATTTTGACCTGAAAAGTACAGATCGAAGAGATGTTATCTCACTAATAGGAAAAATGTATGATAAGAAAGTCCCTAAGAGTAAGCACACTCTTCTTTGGAATCATGTCAATAGAGTTTGACGCGAAAAAATAAAAATAACAGAAATGATTTCTGTTCGTTTCTTAACAGAACCCATCTTCTACTTCGGCGATGTGGAATACTCCGTGGATGAGAGCGCTGGCTACGTGGAAGTTCGGGTGTGGAGAACAGGCACTGACCTGTCCAAGTCTTCTAGTGTCACAGTGAGGTCTCGGAAAACAGATCCTCCCTCCGCAGATGGTGAGCAGTTTCCCGCTCGGCTCTTTAGACTGTTCTGCAATTTTCAATGACCATGGCACAAATTTGTTTAAAGCTGAAATACCTCACTTCTATTAAAGCAGTTTGGCTGGGTGTATTGTTTTTGCTGAAATTATTACTCTAGGAGGTAAATCTAGGCTTTATTTACCACTTTGGGAAAGTACATTTAAGGGCCATGAATCAGAAGCTAGGTTACAAACGTTAAGACTCAAAGGATCTATATACTAAGGCCTATATTTCCATGAAGTGGTTCTCTATTCTCAGCAAAACTAGTATCGCTGAATGCTGTGGCATTATAGGCAGGAAAATCATCTTGCTGCACATAATCTATCCCCACAGAAACCTATGACATTTAGGTACTGTGCAGGCATGTGTCTTCAGTTGGCTGTCTCCTTATTTTAACCATGAGTCCCTATAAATACTTCAGATCCAAAAGGTTTTTTCCACACTTCATTATAAAAAATGTACTAACTAGCACATATCTGCATTTTATTCCAGGATCTACATCTCCAAAAAGTTGATTTTAAAGTTTACAGCAAGCATAGAATTCAAAATTTCCTTTTTTTCCCCTAAATGACCAACAATACAAACTTTCTCATGTACACACACATGAGAACACACATGCATGTCATACACACATCAGACATTCATCACACAAAGCAAGCACAGGTTATACCATTTGAAAAGTTACCCTTAGGTTTTAACTTTTTTAATGTAGTGGAAGCAGTATAGTGCTTTGCATGTAGCAGGTGCCCAGTAAACATTTGTTTAAATTAATCATTTTTAAGAGAAATATTCAAATCAGAGATGATGGGAGGGAGAGAGAGAAATAACAGCAAAGGGGAAGAAGCAGAGGAAAAGAAAAAAATATAAAAAGAACCACAAGGAGATACGGACATTCTACAAAATGAATTAAAGACAGATATGCTCAAGTAAAGTTGCACATTTGGAGGTAAAGTAGATACAAAATGAGAGTCAGAAGAGCAGAAGGTATGAAAACAAAGAAATAAGCAATATTATCGACCTATTGCCCACCACTGTCAGTCTTTGAGGATGTAGTGGCTACAGATTAAAAGGCAGTTTTGTTTTTACTTTAGATATAAATGGAGGTATCAACACTAGATATAGCCCCTTTTGTCTGAAAAATATTAAATTAAAGATCATAGTGTAGAAGCTTCTCTCATTGCCTGGAACAAAGGTGGATGGAGTGTGGGCAGAGCTGGTTCCACTTAAATGTGTTGCTTTAGCTAACAGGCAACCATACACCTAAGTAGGATGTTCTACAGCAGCTCCAGCAAAGATACATAAATACTTAATTAATGTTAACAAAATTTTAAATGTCTGTATTTCATATGTAATTTATGAGGATCATATATTTGATTGATATGCTGATTTTTCTAAGCTTGATTTTTATTACCTTTATTAGATAATTTTCAAACTAAAGTTAGAGGAACTATGACACAGAAAGCCAACATAACTAATCCAAAGGCTAACCATGAAACGTGGATAAAGTTCAGCAGCTGGTCTTTGATCTGTCACCACAGTAGCTATCTGGATATCTATTTGCATTGTATTAAATGTACTTTTCTGTAGGGTTATGCTGGTCTCTGTTTTTTAAAAGAAGAATTATAAATATAATTACATAATTTATGTCTTATAATTTTTTGAAATTTAATTAGTCCCCAACTGAATATTTTTTTGTTACTGTCATAGCTGGAACAGACTACGTGGGCATCAGCCGTAATTTAGATTTTGCACCTGGAGTCAACATGCAACCTGTTCGTGTCGTCATTCTGGATGACCTTGGAGAACCAGTGCTGGAGGGAATTGAGAAATTTGAACTGGTGCTTCGTATGCCTGTGAAGGCAGCCCTTGGCGAGCCCAGCAAAGCCACAGTCTCCATAAATGACTCTGTCTCCGATTGTGAGTGTTTATAAATTTTACAATGATAAGTGAAATCATAAGCTAAGGTTTATACATATATGATATGCAAGATGATAAACTATATATAATATATATGTGTGTGTGTGTGTGTGTGTGTGTATGTTGTTTGCTAGAGCTTCCATAATAAAGTACCACTATCTGGATGGCTTAAATAACAGAAATTTATTGTCTCATAGTTGTTGACGAGAAGTCCAAAATTAAGGTGTTGGCAGGCTCGCTTCCTTCTGAGCACTGTCAGGGACGGAGGTTCCAGGCCTCTCTCCTTGGCTTGAAGATGGCCATGTTGTCCCTGTGTCTCTTCACATCATGTTCCCTGTATGTGTCTCTGTCTAATTTTCCTCTTTTTATGAGAACACCAGTCATATTGGATTAGAGCCCACCCTAAAGACTTCACTGTAACTTAATTACTTCTGTCAAGACCCAACTTACCAATAAGGTCACATCCTCAGGTGTTGGGGTTGGGATTTCAACATATGAATTTAAGGGGGACACAGTCCAACTCATACAAATACCTTAGCTGGCCACACCTTTCTCCTCCTGATGGTTTGGATAGAATTAGACAGTCTCAGAGTAAAACTTTTATTCTTTCTCTCAAACCTTAAAGAAAAAAAAAGTGATGTCATCGATATCTTGATTGTGCCTCAAGAATTCCCCTCACAGCAGATGGGTGGAACCACGTGGAACTGCATAGACCCCTGAGTGTCACTGATCTTTCCCCACTTCACAGCACAGGACACTTTCTGTCATCTCCTTCCCCTAGACACTCATACAATTTCTCTGATAATGTGCCAAAAATGCTGTTCTGGGACAACCCTCTGCTGAACACATGGCACATCATCACAAGGGAATTCTGACACGCCGTCACAAGGGAATTCTGAACACTCTTCAATCATGGGGATTTCAACTGTACTTGGAGGAGTCTTACCTATTGTCAATGAGGCCTATACACAATTAACCTAGCATAGGTGCCACCTAAAAATCACACACACACACACACACACACACACACACACACAGAGTCAACTTTCCCACATGATCTGAGTAAATTATGCTTATAATTATCTGCACAATATTTAGTGTTCTTCATATCAGGAAATTCTGAAAGCCTCATGACTAAGAAACATGTAGATACAAATATCTAAGGTTTGTGGTTTTATCTACTTTTTAGCATTTCATTGCATACCCTTCCTTTACCAAACAGGCAGAGCAAAATGTCAAAGGTAAGGAAATCAAAACTCTTAAGTGATTTGCTCAAGGTCAAAACATTGGCAAGTGACTGAATGGAGACAGAATCCAGTTCTTCTCACTTACTTTCCATTATTCTTTCCACTAAACCACATCTTCTGAAATGCCAGTTTCCACAAGGAAATTTCCGTTCACTTTGATCCTTTGTTTTTGCAGTGCCTAAGATGCAATTCAAAGAACGAATATATACTGGCAGCGAAAGTGATGGGCAGATAGTTACAATGATCCACAGGAGTGGGGATGTCCAGTACAGATCCTCAGTGAGATGCTACACCCGGCAGGGGTCTGCACAGGTGATGATGGACTTTGAAGAACGCCCAAACACTGACATCTCCATCATCACATTCCTCCCTGGTAAGCTTGAGCTTAAAGTTTTTTCGTGAAATTTGAAGAAGCTGAATTTTTACTCAGAAATAGGTATCAGGGAAATACAAGTTCCTTGATACCAACAAGCGTATGGCGTGGTTTTATGTGCACTAAATGAGGAAAGTGAAATCAATTTTTAACAGGTTGAATGAATGCCCTTTTTGTATCTGCATTAACTTATTGATTCCCAGTGATGTGATATATGGTTTCTTCAAAACTTATTCAGTGGACAAACGCATATGAAATGTACAGATTTTACAATGCTAGGAATTAAACTTAGCTCAATGATTTGTTTAGTAAGTCAGAAGTTAATAATACTACAAACTGGTGTTGAGGTCAGATTAACAATGATCAACCAGTACAAGGCTGCTAATCTTGCTTTCTGAATGTAATGCTAAAAATTCATAAACACAAGTGGCATTTGTGCTGTTTCCTTTGTTTTCTAAGATGAGTGGCAGAGCTTAAAGACAGAAAGCAAAGAAATTCCCCATACAAATAAGGGCTGGTCATTGCATATACTTAAATATGTATTCACCGATTCAGCAAATATCTACTGAAGGCTTATTACTTGCCAAACACTGTTCGTTGCACTGAGATGGCAGGAAAAATCCACATTCTTGCCCTTATGGTGCTCACATTCTAGTTGTAGATACATTCCTATGGGACGTGATTGACCTGCTGACACTGTTGTTCCAGGTGAGACAGAAAAGCCCTGCATCCTTGAGCTGATGGACGACATGCTCTATGAGGAGGTGGAGGAACTCCGCCTGGTACTCGGCACTCCCCAAAGCAACTCTCCCTTTGGGGCTGCAGTTGGTGAACAAAACGAAACTCTCGTAAGGATCCGAGATGATGCTGATAGTAAGAAATCTTTTTTTGTGTTCAACTGTAAATTGGGAACTAAAATCCATCCAAGTCAAGGTTTTAAGTGACTCAGAAAAATCCCCCCGCCTCCTCTACTTTCAGACTAGGATTTTTAATCTATTGAGAAATAGCAAAAAGACAAATAGATGGGGAACAAAATAAACAATTAAAACTGATCATTTTGACGCTGGAGAATATGGCTTACATCCAAACACTAATTCCCAAACATCCATGCCGGCCCTCTACTCTATACACACCCTTGGGTACAGGGGGACCAACAGTTTCCTCCCTTCCCCCGCCACCTTCAGTGGCCTGCTCATGTGTAATTTATGGCACATAGACAGCTGGCAGCACATGCTCTCTGGGGGCTGGTTAAATCCCAGGAAGGAGTTGGACAACATATGCCAGCTTTTCCTTCCACACACATCACTAATTTTGAGTGAGGAGACAGAGAGAAACCAGGAGCGTAAGAGTCCTTAAGCCCCTCCCACATGGAAACTAACATTAGAAATGGAGGAAAAGCATTTCCCTTACTAATAATGTCATTTGTCCGTGTTTCCCGCAATTTTAGAGACTGTTATTAAATTTGGAGAAACCAAATTTAGTGTCACTGAACCCAAAGAACCTGGAGAGTCGGTGGTTGTAAGAATTCCAGTGATTCGCCAAGGAGACACTTCGAAGGTTTCCATGGTGAGAGTTCACACCAAGGATGGCTCAGCCACCTCTGGAGAAGACTACCACCCGGTGTCCGAAGGTACGGGGCTCCCAGGGCCTGTCTCCTCATGGATGGATCATGCCAACTCTGTGTGCCAGTGCCAGTGCCCTTAAGGAAAAGAAGGGAAACATCCAATTGAAATAAAAATAGGACACTCTTTTTTGGGGGGTGTAATTTTAAGGGGTGCAAGTGCAATTTTGTTACACGGTTATACTGTGTCATAGTGAAGTCTAGTCTTTTAGTATATCCGTCCCCCGAATAATGTACATTGTACCCATTAAGTAATTTCTCAGTAAGCACCCCCTGCCACTCCCCCACCCTCCCCAGGTCTTCAGTGTTTATCATTCCACACTCTATGTCCACATGTACACATTGTTTAGCTACCACTTAGAAGTGAGAACGAGCAGTATTTGACTTTCTGTTTCTGAGCTGTTTCAATTAAAATATAAACATACTCTTAAATTTCTATCGTTTAGTAAAACAAACACAATGGGATTTATTTCCAAGATTTTTTCTTTTTGACTTACAGGGTATATGTGTTAGGACTTAGGGAAATTTTGAGTAAATGTGCTAGATAACCTTCTGTTTTGAGTTGACTTTCTATTGGTTTTACCTTCATTGTGGTTACCAGATTAAATAATAATTCCCTTATTTTTCTGTGTCATAATAACTGTGATAATAATCTCTTTTGGTTTAGAGAACACCAGCAATCTAAATCTAAACCAAAAAAAGCAGCCACTTAGAGATGTCTTTCATCTCTCTCTTTTTGCAAATGTTGAGCCATGTCACCATCTTTTTTTTTTTTTTCTTTTTTTTGGAGACAGAGTCTCACTCTGTTGGCCAGGCTAGCGTGCAGTGGCATAATCGCAGCTCACTGCTATCTCCGTGTCTTAGGTTCAAGCGATCCTCCCACCTTAGCCTCCCAAGAAGCTGGGACTACAGGCATGCGCCACCATGCCCAGCTAATTTTTTTGTATTTTTGGTAGAGATGGGGTTTTAACATGTTGGCTAGGCTGGCCTCAAACTCCTAGTCTCAAGTGATCTGCCCACCTTGGCCTCCCAAAGTGCTTGGATTAAAGGCATGACCACCAAACTCGGCCTGCCATTTACTTTTATCAGTAATTAAAACAAATCAGTTCTAGCTGGGCACGGTGGCTCACACCTGTAATCCCAGCACTTTGGGAGGCTGAGGAGGGTGGATCACCTGAGGTCAGGAGTTCAACACCAACCTGACCAACATGGCGAAACCCTGTTTCTACTAAAAATACAAAAATTAGCTGGGTGTGTTGGTGCATGCCTGTAGTCCCAGCTACTTGGGAGCCTGAGGCAGGATAATGGCTTGAACCTGGGAGGCGGAGACTGTAGTGAGCGGAGATCACACCATTGCACTCCAGCCTGAGAGACAAGAGCAAAACCCCCTCCCCCCAAAAAAAACCAAAAAAACAAAAAACTCAGTTCTTCTCTCTCAGTTGCTCTCTCTCTGAATTATTTGCTTACAAAAGAAAAGTAACTTTATGTCCAAAATAACGTTTATGAATTATTTGGAGTCTAATTATTCACTGTTTTCTACTTTCCCACCTCTCCCTATCAAGAGTCATACGTTCTTGATGATCTTAGCCCTTCAGGCATTCATCTTTATCTAATTTACAAACAAAGCTGAGAAACCAACTGATAGGTATCCCTGAATCAGTAACAAAGTTAGTGAGGCAATATAAAAAATGGCATCTTCTACAGAGGAGCTTGTATCAAATTGTAACCATTATATGGAAAGAATATACAAGCTTCAAAGTTATTCCCAGATTATTCTCTATGTAAAACATAATATATATTTGAAATAAATCACACATAATCCCAGAGAAGAGAAAACAAAACTGATTAGCTACTGAATTATAAAATATAAAATGTATTTCTATAATGAGCAGATTTTACATGAAAGAAGAATCTTCTAAATTTGATAACATGATCTTTAACAAAAAATATTTTTCTTGAAAGTAAAATGATTCCTTTTGCTAAACAGAAACAAAATTACAGCTATGTAGTAAACTGAAAAGTAAAGTCAGAAAAAAGTTAAAATATTAAATAAACCTGTTGGTCTCTTTTATCCAATAAATGTCAACATGTGTTTTATAATGTTTATACTAAAAATTTAAGAAATATTTTTCTGAAACGTTTTCTAATTTCTCCTGTAAAGGTTCAAACTGAAGTGAGTTCTTTGCAAAAAAACAGAAAAAAATTAAATATAGGACAAAACTTGAAATTTTTTGTGTACTAAAATAGTCTAAAGTGACAGAAAAAGATAAATGTGAGTGAGAAAACTTGCCCACCATCCAGCAAGTATACTATCAGAAAACAATAACAGATATTTAAAATAAATGTTTAATTTTTTAAATTCTAAGAAATTTGGTTTGTATAACTCAAGGCATTACAAAACCTTGAATGTTTACACATCTAAGATAAGCAATGAAAACGAGTAAAGCAAGGAAAATTTGAGAGAAAATGGAGTGATTGTAATGTCATTAAGCCAGCAAGCCCATTCCTTGCCGAGAAAAGCCTGTATTATCTCAGCCTAGTGGTCATATTCTCCTGCCATGCAGGAAGGTAACAAAAAAACTCAAAAATCTCTGTTTTCCTATGAAATTCCCAGATATTTAAATGTTAGAAACCAATTTTTTTAATGTCACATCATACAGGTCAAATCAAGCAAATGATTAGCTATTTTCTTTTCTGGAACAAGAACTATAAGTTCTCTCAGGGTATAAGAAATCTGGGACTGATGGGCTCAAATAGTATGTGAAGGCTAGTAGAAATAATTGCTGTATCTAGAAACAGAGAACTAATGTTACAAAGAAAAAGAAAATTATTTAAAGATAAAGGGAAGAAAATTGCTCCTCATACCTGATAATTTAAAAATTGAAGCAGGAAAAAGAAAATGCACTGGCAATTCATTTTCTTCTTCCCAACTCTAAAGGATTTGTAATTTAGAATTATAATAACTGAACTGCAGCTACATCGGAAACTGGCATCTGTTGACTCTTCTAATTGGGATAATTATACTTTATAAGCTTTATATTTTCTCTTTTGAAACACTATCTCAAAAGGTATAGTAAAACCAACAAAGTAGTTTATCCATGCTTTACAGTATGATCAGCTGCTTAATTATGACTTCAATAAAATCTGATAATTTTCATGATTTTTAGTAATTTTGAAATGAGTGGTTAAGAAAAGAATTCTGATTTTTTTTAGGATTCTAGATTTAACTTTCATGACAGTGAAGCAATTCTTTCTTAGTGAGAAAGGACAGGGTGAAGGGAAAACAGTCACTAGCATTTATCTAAAATGACTTGTCTACGTTTCCCTGAAAAACACAAAGAAGTTTTTTTGAAATATAATTTGATATTGTATAAAAACCTCAACATTTATCCGGCTCTTCTACATATATACATATGTAAATCCCATTCACACTCTATTATACCTGTGATCATATTCATTTGTCTTGAGTCCTATTGGTTTAGAAATTCTGGAGAATAAGATGTTAATTTTTCTGATTATGTCCCAATATTAGAACTACTGATTGTCCCTCCCATAATTCAGCATATTTTCAAACTGTGGGCCAAAAACCAATGTCTTATTATTAAAATTTTCCTTCAGATAAAATAGGCATTCACAGCAACCTGGATGGAACTGGAGACTGTTATTCTAAGTGAAGTAACTCAGCAGTGGAAAACCAATCATTGTATATTCTCACTCATAAGTGAGAGCTAAGCTGTGAGGATGCAAAGGCATAACAATGATATAATGAACCTTTGGGACTCCAGGGAAAGGGTGGGAGGGAGGTGAGGGGTACAAGACTGCAAATTGGGTACAGTGTATACTGCTCGAGTGATGGGTGAGACAAAATCTCAGAAATCACCACTCAAGAACTTATTCACGCAACCAAACACGACCTGTTCCCCCAGAATCCTATCGAAATAAAAAAATTGAAAAATTAAAGTCTTGGGAAACAAGAAAATATTAAAGTAAAATGCATAGAGTAAGAATTAGTGATGTTTGTTAAACATTTGATTTCATTTCACACATACACCCAAAAATACTGGACCACAGTGTAAAATGTATTTCTCATTGCAGGCCACAGACCAAAAAAAAAAAAAAAAAAGCTTGATAGAAAACTTCTAATATTCACATGCAAACGATTTAAATCTGTGATTTTGCATTTGTAGAAATTGAGTTTAAGGAAGGGGAAACCCAGCATGTGGTTGAAATCGAAGTTATCTTTGATGGGGTGAGAGAGATGAGAGAAGCCTTCACTGTTCACCTAAAACCTGATGAAAATATGATAGCAGAGATGCAGGTAAGTAATGTAATGTGTATGTAAATTCATGGCCAGCAGTTTGTCAGAGAAAATGCATAAAAGCAATCACATAGTGTACAATAAAATGAGGACACTTTGTACAAGCCTTACATGAAAGAGATATGCATAATCTTTTTTTACCACCTAAATATATTTTCTTCTGATTAGATCATAGTCAAGAAATTCCTATCTTTTTCTTTGAAAAATGTGTGTTGAAACTCAAGGACTGAAGTCACTGAGCCCCAAACCAGTGCACTTCCCTTCCGCATGTCAGTCAGTAACAATTGATTGACCTTGGGATTAACCATCAGAGAGAAAGTAGCATCTCAGAGTAAAGAGGGAACTATTAATTCAGTGCCACAACTCATAAAACATATTCAAACCCACAAAGCAATTTGCTAATCCTCCAAATCAAGATCTGTTTCCCCTGGCTTTATCAGAATTTGATGTCCACAGCCTCATGATCAAAATGTTTCAGTCCTAAATCTTGTTGTCTAAACTTACTTAATTTATATTGTCTCATTAACCAGATTTTCCTCAAAACGAACATAATTCCACAGAATGTTGACCTTGACATGGGAAATAATTTTTAAAACTACATGTCTTTTTGGAATGTATTAATTTTTTATATCTTTGCTTAAATTTACTGTATTACTTTTTTGTTTGTTTCACTTTAGTACGAGTGAAACATTTTTTCCATAAATATTTTTTTCAAAAAAAATTTTAACAATTTGGAAACCTTAACGCCTGAAGGGTTTTCCAACAAAAAGCCCTGCCTTTCAACAAAGTAATTAAAAATCAAAGAAGGGAAAACCTTAACAAAAATAGTTTTGTGTCTTCATCACATAAGATGAATCTTTTATTATTATTTTTATGTAGTAGCGTATGAAATGCTTTTGGGTGAAAAGAATATTCACTCAAGTTGCTTCCAGTGATGAAAGCTTCTTTTAAAAATATACATGTAAAGATAGTTTGGGAAACTATGCTATGTAGTCAGATATTGGACGGTTATTTGGGAACCAGGGCAAGTTCACAGCAAGGTGTTCTTGTCACCTTGCCCAGCAGCAGGTGTTCATGGAGTCCTCCTCTGTCTGGAACTCAAATTCTCCCCTGCCTGGGTGTCAGGTGGTGCCTTCTGCCCTTGACTGCTTTAAAGAATTTCTTATTACTGGCATCTGCTTCATCCAGGCTCACACTATCCCGTGACCTCTCTGATCGTCCTTCCTTCAGAATGTCCTCCAGCTCTACTCCCACTGTCAAAGAATTGACTCCTTCGTGAAATTTCCCTTCACAACCCCAAGACAGGTTTAGCTACTGTCATCACAACTGGAGAGAAAAAAAAATTAGAGCCCAAACACCTCGTGGGCCTCTGGCCAACCTTTGGATTGACTGCCCTGGGCTCAGCTGCCCACCCTGGAACCATAAGATGTGAACAAGGTGCCAAGGTCTTATGCATCAGGCCACTTAGGGCCAGTTGCTCTCCAGGGGCTCTGAGTATGACAATTTGCATCATAATGAGGCCATGGGTTTGCCAGGGATCGTGAGTATTGTCCTGTATGGTAGAAGCATCAAAAGTTTCATATTCCACTCATCAGTGATAATTATCTTTTCCTTCTAGGTGACCAAAGCCATTGTGTATATAGAAGAAATGAGCAGCATGGCAGATGTCACTTTTCCTTCTGTCCCTCAAATTGTGTCCCTGTTGATGTATGATGACACTTCCAAAGCTAAGGAGAGTGCTGGACCCGTGTCGGGCTATCCTGTCATCTGTATCACAGTGAGTAGGCGATTCACAAAATTGAGGAAAATTGTAAGATAATTACTTCAAATAATTATAAAGCGTAATCAATATAGCATCGGCTTTGTTATGAAGAAATGAAAGTAGAAAAATACTACATGGTGTAAGCCTTGAACTTTGCAGACGTAACACTAATCAAATAAAGCTCCCATTTTTCTTTCTTCACCCAGCAAAGTTTCATTAACTGATGTGTACATAGTGTGTTATCTCAGTCTGTCACCAATAGAAAAATAAATAAGATATGAGGTCTGCATTCAAGATATTTATAGATGAAGAAAAGAATATAGGAATTGGTAACTCTAATATAAGGCAAGATATAACCACTATCATGAAAATGATACAAATTGGAGGTCAGAGCTGCAGCTCCATATATGAGGGGAGATTTGGGATGGTCAGACGAAATTCTGATCATTTAGGATGCAAATCTGATAAGGGAAGGTCATTCTAGGAAGAAGGGATTGCAACATGAGCTACAGCTAGAAACAAATAGCATAAGAAATAGCAGATTATCACTACTTTTAAAATTTACCTTTTCTTGACTCCAAATTATAAGCTCCTTGTGAGCTAAAATTATGACTTACTTATTTTTATATCACAACAGCACTTCTATAATCACTTATATATAAAAGTACACAATGCATGTTAATTGAATCAACAAGGCAGAGATAAGTTGGTGTCAAAGTATAGGGAGTTTTCAATGTCATATTAACAAATTTGGACTTCATTTGTTGGGTAGCGAAGAGTTCTTACGCAGAAGAATGATGAGGGGGGTTAAGCTGGCAGGTTGACAGGGCAGTCGTGTGTCAGCGGAGTGGAAGAAAAGACCCTGAATTAGACAGAGAAGTGCTGCTGGGAATGGAAAGGAAGGCATCATCTTAAGCAATATTGCAAAAGAATAATCAGCCAAGTTCCTGACTCACTGGATAAGGGGGGTAAGATGAGAGACAGGAAGGGAGGGAGGAAAAAAGAGAGAATAAGGATAAAAGGCAAACCTGATGATTCAAGAGATTATGATATAAATAACAATTTTACACGTATTAAGTTAGAAATAGAAACATCCAATAAGCTGTTTGAAATGCAAGATTAGCATTTATAAACGCTATCATGGCTGGGAATCAAAATTCAGAAGTTGTATGAACAGCATGTGGAAACTGGGGAAATCCGCAGTGAAAACTCGATGACAGAGAACGGGAGAAGAATGCGTTCCACACTGTTCTACACTCTGTTCCTAACACAGTCATTTGTTTTCCATAGGCTTGCAACCCCAAATATTCAGACTACGATAAAACAGGCTCTATCTGTGCAAGTGAGAACATCAATGACACTTTGACCCGGTACCGGTGGCTGACTAGTGCACCTGCGGGCCCTGATGGTGTGACCAGCCCGATGAGAGAAGTGGACTTCGACACCTTTTTTACATCATCCAAGATGGTCACGCTGGACTCTATATACTTTCAGCCTGGCTCCCGGGTGCAGTGCGCAGCTCGTGCTGTGAACACCAACGGCGATGAAGGCCTGGAGCTCATGAGCCCTATTGTAACCATCAGCAGAGAAGAAGGTCAGTCATTACCATTTTCCCCTGAAGATCACTGGAATACTGTGGAATATTACAAATGTCTACTTTCTGGTTATTAAGACTTCCAAATGTCCCACATATTCCATGTATTTTGTATGTAGTTAAAAGTTAAAATCCATTTTTATAAAATTATGTATTACAAAACAAAATATTCATTCCACCTTTAAGTACCTATTATACGCCAGACACAATGCTTTGTGCTGGCAATAAAATAAAGAAGACAGGATCCCCGCTTTTGAGGATTTCTTGGTCCAGTTGAAGATGCAGACACATTTTAGTCTAGACAGGGCACAGGAATGCACAGGTAGAAGTGATTAGTTTTACCCTGAGTGGGTCAGGAAAGACTCATCAAAGAGGGGAGGCTCAAGCTGAATCTGGAAAGAGTAGAGGAAACCAAGCATGAGCAACAACTCGTAAAAACAAGAAAGAATGTGAGATATTCTGGGAATGGCAAGCAGAGAAATGGGGAAGCTTCTGAGAGGGAGAGAAGGAAAAACCAGGAGACAAGGCAAAATGGTGTACAAGGCTCAGATCCGAACAGAGCTCATGCCGTGCAGGGAGCTCAGCTGGTTGTTGGGTGAGTAGGATTTTGCTGGGGACGGGAGGGGAAGGGCAATCCAGGTAGAAGGGTATGTGCAAATGAACACCTTAGTATTACGAGAGAGACTGTATTTAAGACTGGAGCAAAGGCACATTGGGGATGGAGAATAGGATGTGGCTGCGGACGACATTGGAAAGACAGGAAATCCACTATATAAATAAATCCTTCACTGCAGAATATTTTTTTAATGAGATTTTTCTTAAAAACGGTTGCATATATATGATTCTATTTCTAAACCATCCATTTGCATACTGCATTCAAAAGTAAATTTGCCGCATAAAGAGAGGTCATATGTCCCATCTGCGACTACTGTATATTCAGGATCAAATATTTAAATAATGCCTTAAAATGATTCTCTCTTTTCATAAATCAGACAGCCCCTATGCTGGGGCCTGCCTCTGATTTCATTGCTATCCTAGTAAATATTTGTCTATTTTCTCTGTTTTATACTAATAGATAAGCAATTGTATCTTTCCAAGTTCTCTTCAAATAATAATTCAGCATCTTGGTCCCTTTCATGATGTTCAAATAAAACACCCACTGTTTTCTTAAAGGAAATGCTGGAGAAAGAGTTTCATGTCCAAATTCTTGAAGGTCACTGGGAGATATGAGAGAGAAAGAGAGATGAATATAAAATGGAGTATAATGTATAATACACGTACTGTAAAAAATTACATATATAGAGAAAACTCTACTGTTCACAGTTTGCTCTCTGATTTTTAAGGAGACTTTAGTTTTTGTTCCTAAAATGAGCAGTTTTAGTTTTGTTCACTTACAAGTAATGTAAACATAACTAACGATAAGTATATTATTCTACAGTAAAAATAAAATTTACTTGGTTTAACTACATTTACTTTTATCCTACTGACTTTCAATCATTTTTACTGTATCTGTTGATACCTTATATTTAAATGGTTTTGTGAATATGACCAGGACTTGGAATAACCAGCACACATTAAGTTACATTGAATAGTAACTATTTTTTCTCAAAGTTTGAACAATCCCTAAATTGTCAAGTGGCCACTAAACTGTCTGCTGTGATTACTTCTCACCCTGTGGCCTTCTAATTTCTTATGACGTGATGTAAACTCTTAGCCATGCCCTACTCCACAGAGAAGTTTAAAGTACATAGAAAAATAATAGCTCCTATTTTTAAAACATTCTTTAGGTATTATTGATTACCTTCTTTTCGCATAAATATGGTTTTTTTTTTCAAGGTCTTTGTCAGCCCCGTGTACCTGGGGTAGTTGGGGCAGAGCCGTTCTCAGCTAAATTGCGCTACACAGGCCCTGAGGACCCAGACTACACAAACCTTATCAAGCTCACTGTCACAATGCCACACATAGATGGTAGGTGACCTGGGTAAGCAAATCTGTGGAATTGTTTCGGACTCCTCATTACCTGGTGCATTTTCCTTCATCTTCTAAATAACCAAGCTTCAACAAATGTTCAATTTGCAACTTGAGCTTCAAGTCCTTCTGCTTCTTTCAACTTTTTTAGCTTTGTTCTACACAGTTTTTATAACTATGGCAATGTAAGCATTCTTTAAAATTAGATAGATGTAATACATATCCAGACATGATAAAACAAAACTGGTAAGTAGTCTAGCTTTTATGAAAGAGTACAAATGCATCTTCAATTGTAAACTTGAAGTTACAGTAAAGTATTTGATATCTTAGTGCCTACCTTCAACATGTGTTGCAATTTTATAGCTGGAGTTTTATGTCTCTCTCAATATTTATCACGTAACTAAGACATTTCCTAGATATGT